AACTGGAGCGTGACAACTTCCTAGGGACGGAGAGATGGAGAGTGGGGCTGGGAGGGCCTCTCAGTTTCTCTCTGACCTCTCTCTGCACTCGATGACAGCAGCTAACCAAATGATCAGAGGCAACAATGAGCGGTTGGGCCTCACGAGACATGTGACTTCCTCTTTTATTGTGCTTACGCCCCGGGGTGGGTTCCCTGGACTTACAACACTCTGGGTTTGGAAATTGTCATTTTCATTTCTTGTCACTTTGGGTAAACACAATTTTTAGAAAGTCTGGAGACCCTCAGGGTCACAGAGGATGCTGTGGTACCTGCCCAGATACCCTCTTCAGGACCATTGTGCCTGTTTCCCTCAGTCTGTCCTCCAGGCAGTGCCATCTCCCAGGAGACAACTGGGGACAATGGCTGATATGGAATTTCAGGAACCTGGTCTGGTCATCAAAGTCCAAGACAGCTCTCAGGAGCCATCCCAGGCCCACACCTCATGTAGGACCAGCTGAGGATTCATGTTACCACGTTGCGGCCATTGCTTCCTCTTCCTGGTGCTGCCTCGTTCTATCCCCTACAAAGAGGTCTGCTAGGAGCCCTTGTACAACAAGCTTTCTGTACACACTTCTGCCTCTCAAAGCTCTGGTTCCAAGGAATCTGATCCAGAGTCTGACTCTTGATTTCAGTGTTCCTTTTCACAGAAAGTCAGTCACACATGACAATAGACAAGAAAATGCCACGACTTTTAATAGCTTCCCTTATCTTGTCCCATCTCTGGGGCACAAAGAAATGACCCTGAAATGACAAATCATGACTATTCACTCCTTCCAGTCTGCTGCACAGTAATGGATAGATAAATAGATAAATGATAGTTACATAGATGAGTGATAGATAGATGATAGATAGATAGATAGATAGATAGATAGACAAATATGAGAAAATAGATATTTAAAAGGAATATATTAAACTATAATATTATTACGAAACTAATATCCATTTGTCATTATCAAGATAAATACCTAAAAACTAAACTAACACCCTCCAGCACCCATCTCCCTAGCATCCTCCGTCCTGTCATCAAGCTGAATAAAACGTGCCAATCAGAAACCACAACAGCAACTTGAACAAGAGACTTTGCATATAAAATATTACTATTTAAGGGGCTGGGCTACTGACTAGAGTAAGGAGAACTCTAAAGAACACAGGAACCACAATGCTGGAAGCAGCCATCGCATCCAGGTTGACATGGAACATCCAAAAAAGGAGACTTGGAAGATGTCCAGGGTCCTTCTCTGCAGATGGCTGGTGCACTGTATCCTTTGTTCTTTAAACTGAGTTAAGCCAGGAATAGTGGCATATATCGTCAATCCCAGCATTGGCAGAGGCAGGCAGGTCTCTGTGAGTTCAGGGCTAGCCTAGTATATCTAGCAAGCAAGTTCCAGGTCAGACAGGGTTACACAGTGGGAGATCTTTATATATATATATTTTTTAAATAATTATATCATATTATATTAATTATATATAACTATGTATAATATTAACAGCATAATCATACACATATAATTAATATATTGTCAAATATATCAATAATTATTAATAAATCATTAATAAAACAATCCATATTTTAGTAATTAAATTAATTAGTTAACTTTAGTGATTGTTATTAATTATTGATTTATGTGATTAATTATAGTTTATATTATTAATAGCATAATTAAAGTATTAATAAATAAATCTCAGTAATTAATAATTAGTTAAATAATGAAAGAAAATAAATGGTTAATGCTTAATAAATATGGTACATTAATAGTAGTATGTAGATATATATGGACATATAAATATATAAATATAAATATGTATTGTGTGTTATGTATATAAACACACAATAGATATTTGAATAGAGAGTCAATAGACTGCAAGGAGTATCTCTGCATCTTTGGTGAGAGCATTGCTTCCTCTGAAGTAAGAACATTGTAACAGGGAACATAATACAATGAGTGTTGTTTATGGGACCCAGTCCTTTGCAGCTTCCCTGCCCATCCTCACCCAGGCTGACTCTCACTACCAATGGCCTAAGCCTTCTACTCTTCCTCCCTTTACTTTTCCCTGGAGATCCCGTTGGCTACCAACTGTCAATACACTTGATCGATTTTGTTTTTATCTGTTGACTAGGAGCTTTCCGAAGGTCAGGATTTTTGCCTCTTTTGTTCATTGGTTTTCTGTCCTGCATCTAGAGTAGGGATGAGTACGCGCTAGGTACCATAGAAATGTTTGTTGAGTGAATGGGTGATCACATGTAGGGAGAGTAAGCACATAGGATAGCATCTCAGACCGATAGTGGGTTGAGCTGGGAGGATCTTGGACCTTCAACACTAAGGCTTGTGAGCCTCAAACCAAAGCTATAGAAGGCACTTTGCTTTTACAAGGTTGAATATCGTGGTTTCAGCAATGGCCATCTCAAGACTCCTGTGCAAAAAGTCCTCAGTCTGGGTACTTTGAGAGGTAACAGGATCTTTAAAAGGTAGAAGTGGGTGGCCGAAGGAAGGGGGGTGACTGGGGATTGTTCTTGAGGGGACTATTAAGTTCCCAGCCCCCCCCCACTTCCCAGCTAACATTAGGGGAATAGCTTTCCCAGCTGTGAGCTCTAGCCACAATGCACTGCCTTGTCACAATCCTAGAGGCACAGGGCTGAGGGACCACAGACTGAAACTTTCAGAAGTCAAACTAAGCTTGGTCTCCTTTTAAAAGTTAATTGCCTCAAATACCGTGTCACACTGATGAAGAACTGATAAGACAATGCTCTGTGTGATTACAGACGACAAAGTTTCCCACAGACCTCTGGGTCAGAGGTATACTTTCTTCTTTCCCATAGCCTTAAAGAAAACAACAAATGCTGGTGAGGGTGTGAGGAAAGAGGAACCTTACACTCCTGGTGGGAATGTATGCTGGTATAGCTGTGTCAGAAATCAGTGTTACAATGGGTGATGTCACTCAGGAACAGATCACTTGACCAGTGTGCATGTGATACTATGATCAATCCCCGGTAGTGACAAAACATTAAAAAATAAAAATGAACATCAGAGTGGAAGTTCCTCAAAAACAGACGAACAACAACAAAACTAAAAACAGAACTCCCCTGTAACCCAGCTGCACCACTCCTGTGTAAATAATCATGTGACTCAAGGATGCTGGACCTCAGAGGCACTTTCAGCCATAAAGGAAAATCAAAACTATTACATTTGCAAGAAACTGAAACTGAAAATCATGATGTAAAGTGAAATAAGCCAAACCTAGAAGGACACGTATTGAATATTTTCTCTTATATGTGAAATATAGACCTGAATGTGTGTGTGTATGTGTATATACATGCATGTATGCATGTGCGTGCATCTGTGCACATGGGTATGCACACATGTATATGTGCATATGTGTGCACGTGTGTGTGCACATGTGTGTGTGTATGTGTGTCTGAGAGAAGGGGGCTGATGAGATGAGAAAGGAGGCTATGTGTGGAGGAAGAGATCTTAGGTAAAGAATAAGAGAAAGAAGTTATAATAGAATACATGTCACATGAAAGCAGAAGGAGAAACAGTCTTGGGGTAGAAAAACAATCAACAAGAAGGGACAGGGAAATGGTCAGAGTAGTGGGGTTGGAGAACAAAGAATAGTGACACACATGCATGAATACGCCATAATGAAACACATTATTTTATATGCTAATTTGAAAAAAATCCCTGTGGCCTAAATGTGGACAGGCAGATGCTGGGAATCAAACTGAAATAAAGCAATACTGAAAGTGGAGGCCACATTGATAGAGAAGTTGGAAGCGACCTTGAATTCACAGACCTATCATTTTCCTCGAGAGATTTTAGTTTACCATTATTGTGTGACACAAAGCATATAGGGTGTCCACTATCGCCTCCGCCCCTTACCCATCTAATGAGCAGTGTGACTGCTTGTGAATCTGTCCCCTGTCTAGGACTGAACTATGAGCCACTTAGCTTACTCACAGGCCAGGTGTCATGGCGTGGCTCCAGGACATCTAGCTGCAGAAGGCAGAGATCTCAGGAAGGTGAGAGCTCAGAGGACCCTGGACTATAGCCATGTCCCCAGGTAGACAGAGTACCCTAGAGCCTCGAGATTCCCACTCACCCACTCACTCATAGATGCTCCCCACTAGGGGAGGAGAGATCTTATTGGGAAGCCCCTCCCTTCTGGATTCTCTCTGTACCCGTTTTCTGTTCTAGCTTCCAGGATGCTTTGAGCTTAATGCTCAGCCATGTTTATCTGGGCTCTTTTCTTTCTATGTTTTCTTATTCGTCTCTTCATTATCTATTTCTATTTTTATAGGTATGCTTTCCGGATCACGTGTGTTAGACACCTTGCTGATAATGCAAAGGATGTGGCTAAATCAGAGACATCGGCTAGTTTCTAGATTAGGTCGGTCTTAGCTACACAGAGTTGTTGGCCTGAGGGCAGTTCATAAATGCCTTCCCCCCAGTTCTTTGAAGTTCTTCTTCTTCTTGGGATATCCCTCTTTAAACAGCATCCTTCTCCTTCTGATCCCTCCCTACCACTCCAAGACCAGGCAACTGTCTATTTCCTTTCTTCATCCCCATCCTCCCTGGGAAGCCAAGCCTCACTTCCTCACGGTACCTTCCACCTGATCGTGTCCCACACATCCTCACACAGGATTTTCCCCGGGGGCTTCCCCTGAGCGGAGTCAGCTACATCAAGAGTTCCAGCATCAATTGCTTCCTTCCAGCTGCTTGCAACACCCTTTGCTTTCCTAAGGAGGAATGTCCACACCAGTCTTAAGTTCAGCAAACGCTCCTTTTCTGTCCCACTCTGTCCCCAACTGCCTTCCTTACTGATACCAGTGGCTTCCACTCTGGTGAGTATGAACACCTTTGTGCTCTGGAAGCTGTTATCTACTCAGGGAACTTATGTCAGAAGCCAGGGGGTGGGGCCATTCGCCTCAGCTTCTGACATCACACTCTTATTATCGCTGGAAGCAGGCGTGAGTTAGTGTCCTTATCCGAGGCAGCCTGGAGGACAGCTGGCCAAGAGGTACAGAGAAATCAAACATGGGATACCGGGAGAGGGAGAGACGAAAACAGCTTCTCAGTTTCTCTGCGGCTGACAGAGGCTCCTGAGAGAGGCTTTTCAGAACTTGATTCCAGCTGGCCCTTGAAAGCTGTGGCTGGACGGGAGAGCCTCAGAGGAATAAACAGTGCCTTCTCTGGCTCCTCGGGGTCAAGATCAGTCTGTTCAGAAGGAAGTGGTGTTTCCCTGACCCCAGTGTTCCCACAGCCCCCTGGATGGTAGATCATGCGGCTGCACCCTTCCCCACCCTTGGGAACTCAGTCAAATGGTTATCTTTATCTCACCAGCTTGTCCACGTGCTTGACCAGCGCAGTTTCACTTTTGCAAACATCTGTTTATATCCCTTGAGAGAAAAATATCAAGCACCCTGCCTCAACAACGCTGTTTTGGGCGGTGAGCAAGGTAAGGAACCGCTCTAAATGTCTGGGAAGTAGGCGGGCACCAACTTCTCAAGGTTAAGCCAGTGTCTCTCGTTGTTTTTAACTCTTTGTTTTCTTAGATCCTATCTCCCATTTAGAGTCTCCTTTCAACCAAAAGAACTTAAGTGACTTTAACGTTCCTGACTCCTTTTGTGCCAGGCAGCTTCTGTCACATTAGCAGCTCGGTCCCTGGGCGCTTAAGGAGTAGATTGAGTACAGCCGCTACTCTGGGGGAGTGGGGCATATTTACTTTCAGTCTTTTGCTGTAAGGTGGAGGGGAATCATAACCTCTGGTTTTCCCACAGGGCAGCCTCCGATGGATAATTACACAGTCACCCCGGAGGATGAGTACGATGTCCTCATAGAGGATGACCTGGACAACACTGGGCCAGACCAAGTTCCCATCCCTGAGTTCCTTTCCGCCCAGCAGGTGCTACGGTTCTGCGGCGCCGTGTTTGCCGTGGGCCTCCTGGACAACGCGCTGGCGGTGTTTATCTTGGTGAAATACAAAGGACTCAAGAATCTGGGGAACATCTACTTTCTAAACCTGGCACTTTCAAATTTGTGTTTCCTGCTTCCCCTGCCCTTCTGGGCACATACTGCAGCACATGGGGAAAGCCCTGGCAACGGGACTTGTAAAGTTCTTGTTGGACTCCACTCCACCGGCTTGTACAGCGAGGTGCTCTTCAACATCCTCCTCCTCATGCAAGGATACAAGGTGTTTTCCCAAGGGCGACTGTCCTCCGTCTTCACAACAGTGTCTGGCGGTATTGTTACCTGTGTCCTGGCATGGGTCATGGCTACTGCACTCTCTTTGCCCGAATCTGTGTTTTATGAGCCTCGGATGGAAAGACAGAAATACAAGTGCGGCTTTGGCAAACCTCACTTCTTGCCCATTGAAGCGCCCTTCTGGAAGCATGTTCTGACGTCAAAGATGAACATCTTGGTTCTTGCTTTTCCTCTGCTGGTTTTTATATTCTGCTGCGGGCAAATGAGGAAAACGCAGAGCTTCAGGGAGAGGCAGTGCGACCTCCGCAAGCCCGCTCTTGTCATAACGGGTGTGTTCCTTTTGATGTGGGCGCCCTACAATATTGTGCTTCTCCTGTCTGCTTTCCAGGAACACTTGTCCCTGCAGGATGAAAAGAGCAGCTACCACCTGGATGCCAGTGTTCAGGTCACACAGCTCATCGCAACCACTCACTGCTGCGTCAACCCACTCCTCTATTTGCTTCTTGACAAAGCCTTTACGAGATATCTCTGCAGCCTGCTCCCACGGTGCAATGATATCTCATATCAAAGTAGTAGGAACTCTCAGCAAGCAACGCCAAGGGAAGGTCAAGGCAGGCCCATTGAACTGTACAGTACTTTGCATCAAAGGCAGGATATATAAACACTCATCCTTGTCTCTTTTCACATTGTTTTATGTAATTTTATATGTTTGTATAAAAATAGAATATAAGAGGAAAGAGGGCTGGTTAATGAATATTTACTACTAAGCATTGGGTTTGTCTCTGGTGTGGGGCTAAGCTATTTATAAAGGTGAATTCCACTCTTCCTCTTTAGTGCTTGTCCACAGTGTGGGCGTAGGTGGTATGAGTTCCATCAACTGAAGCTCAGTAATTGTCCAGAGTTACACAACTATAAAGCGGTAAAACTGACGTGTAAACCCACATCAGTTGGCCCCAGAGCCTGTGAGTTATCAAAGTGTGCCAGCCTTTCAGTAAACTGTCAGTCAGCAGTGATGGCATGTCTCTAATCCCAGCACTCAAGGAGGCGGAGGCAGGAGGAATCTCACAAATGCAAGTATAACCTGGGCAACATAGCCAGACCATGTGCTTTTTGTTTTGTTTTTCCGAGACAGGGTTTCTCTGCGTAGCCCTGGCTGTTCAGGAACTCTCTTTGTAATCCAGGCTGGCTTTGAACTCAGAGACCTGTCTACCTTTATCTCCTGAGCACTAGGATTAAAGGCTTGTGTTACCACTTGGTCATGCACATCTTAATTTCAGCTCAACTCAAGAGGTAGATGACACAGAAAGATCAGAAGTTCAAGGTCACCCTTGGCTACATAGTGAGTTAAGGCCAGCCTGAATCCATTAGACCCTGTATTAAAAAAAAAAAGTCCTTAGACCCATTTTGACCACATTCTAAATTAGAAGCAAACATTAGCATGGAAACAATTTCCCAGGCACACGCTCTTGCAGGTCATGAGAAGAACTGGCTGCACAGCAGGCGGCTGTGCAAACCAAAGGTGAAGTGATTGGTCCGATGGGCTCTCTCGACTACTCACTATACTCAGGCTTTCCTGATTCTTCCAGCCCTTGAGTCCTCCGAGGTTTTAGAGTCTGTATCATGAAGGCTCTGGTGTCTTAGGAAAGTTACCAAGAGCAGATGAAAAAGTCCGTTTAGAAATGCTGGAGTGAGGGAGCACTGTGTGACCTTTGAAATATAACACATCCCTCAGGCCTCATTAGCCTGTGACTACAAATAAGTTCCCACTTCCTTTCAAAGCTGAGTTACACTTAGGGGGTATGCAGGGGGCACCTGCCAGTCAGCAGGAGGCCAGCTCTTTGCCCAGGGTTACTGGTCTCAGAATACAGAGATCTATGTGGGTCCCCTCTTCCTGTGTGAGTGTTCAGAGCTGGACTCAACACTCCACCATGGCCAAGGGCTGTGGACACAGATCTTCTTTTACAGCTATAATAGGGCAAGTAAGTTGAGGGCAAGATGGACAGACAAAGAGTATCCTCCCAGAGATCCTTCCCAGGACAAAGGGTTCTCCCATGTCATAGGTAAATGACAGTCATCATCAAAGCGGAAGGAAAAGAAACGAAAGCCAGGCGGCAAGGTGGCTCAGTGTATGGAGGCCCTTGTTGTGTAAGCCTGGTGAGCTGAGTCAGTCCCTGGAACCCACGAGAAGGTAGGAGGAGAGAACTGGCTCTGCAAGCTGTCCTCTGACTTCACACGTGCTTATGATTGCATGTGAACACACACACAAACACACATGCACACACACGTATGCACACACACATGCACACACACATGCCCACACACTCATGCACACACACAAACACACACACACACACACACACACATGCACACACACGTTCATACTCATATGCACACACACACATGCAGCACACATACACATGCACACACATGCACACAAC